AACTCTGGTGGATAGTCGTCTTATTGGCAATCATACCGCATCTCCCTATTTTTTAATAAAAAAAAAATAAAAAAGATAAGCAATGACAAATGAAATAACCCCCCAAAACTCTGATTAGGTCATCAAATCGCTTTACTAGATGTGATCGATACCTGAACCTTTTCATGGCCTCTACGATTAGACGATACTTGGACCTTTTCTTCGCCTCCAAGATTAGTCGATACCTTGACCTTTTCTTCACCTCCACGATAAGTCGATATCTGGACCAATTCATCATCTCCACGATTAACGCATACCTGACTTTTTCATCACATCCACGATTAGTGCAAACCTGAACTTTTCCTCGCCTCCACGATTAGTCGATACCTGAATCTTTTCCTCGCCACCACATTTAGTTAATACCAAAACTTTTCCTCGCTATCACAACTAATCAATACCTGAACCTTTTCCTCGCCATCACGACTAATCGATACCTGAACATTTTTTTAGCCACCACGACTAATCGATACCTGAACGTTTTCCTCACCTCTACGATTAGACGATACTTGGACCTTTTCCTTGCCACCACGATTAGTCGATACCTGGACCTTTTTCTCGCCTTCACGATTAATCGATACCTCGACCATTTTACTCGCCTCCAGGATTAGTGCGCGATTAGTGCAAACCTGAACTTTTCCTCACCTCCACGATTTGTCGATACCTGAATCTTTTCCTCGCCACCACATTTAGTTGATACCAAACCTTTTCCTCGCCATCTCGACTAATCTATACCCGAACCTTTTCCTCGCCATCACGACTAATCGATACTTGAACCTTTTTCTAGCCACCACGATTAGTCGATACCCGAAACCTTACCTTGCCACTATAATTAGTCGAAACCTGAACTTTTTCTTCGCCATCTCGATAAATCGATACCTTAATATTTTCCTCCCCCACAACAATTAGTCGATACCTGAACGTTTTCCTCGCCATCACGCTTAGTTGATACCTTAACCTTTCCCTAGCCACCACGATTAGTCGATACCTTAAACTTTTCCTCGCCATCACGCTTAGTTGATACCTTAACCTTTTCCTCGCCACTACGATTAGTCGAAATCCAAACATTTTATTTGCTTCCACGATTAGTCGATACCTGAACCTCTCCCCTCTATCACAAATAGTCGATACTTGAATCTTTATCTCCCCATCAAGATTTGTCGGAAATGCAAACATTTATAGAAGTTCTAGAATTGATTATATTAAATGTATTACACTAACCTTGCATATGAACTTAAATATTGACAGGTAACCGGTACACAAAAAAATGGATTGATCGTCGCTTGTTCAATGTCCAGTAGCAAGTATTTCATGAATATTCAGATCGAGAACACATTAACAAACAATACAATAGTAGTAGTAAAGTATGTGGATAGGAGAGTTTTTCTTCAAAAACTAGTGAGTGTGACCTGTGAATAAATATTAATGTAATACTGCGTCACCATATTTTTGTCAGCTGCTCTATGAAATCCTTGAAATCTTCGATAAATGTAGTTTAATGATTAAAAGATCAAAGAGAGACAACTCCATTTTGTTTCTGTGACATTTTAAGCAGTAATTAAAGGCGACCAGTCTGAGCTCTAAGCGTTCAGTGTACGACGGACCAAAGGTTACTAAAATAGATCTTAGTCTTAGATACATGACCTTTTTTTTTATTAATGCTTATTGGCTTTGAATTAACTTTCAGTAGCTGCGAGTACTCTCAGATCTGTACTATGAGTATTTTGCTTTTTTGTGATTTGTATCGGTCTTATGAGTTAAGCCCTTTTCAACCGTGTTTATAGTCTGTTCTTATCATATGTTGTAATGTTAACCACTGTCTCGGGTTAGGGGAAGGATCTGGCGCCAGAAAATATGGTTAACTCCCAAACATTCTATATGTGCCCCGATTAATTGAATAATTGACCTGTGCTTACTTAACGTTAAACATTGGCAAATATTTATGGAAATATAAGACGATATTTTGATGATATTCTCATTAAGACCAAATGTTCAAACAATATATAAAGACGAAAAAAAAACCAATGTTAATTGTAGATTTTATAATATCGTGTATCTAAGTAAATGCTCACATACTCATAGAAAGGACATTTTATAAGTAGTCATGTGACTGTTGTGAATTAAATAAGATCGGATCCGGATAAATGAACTCTCGAAAGTAGCTGTTAATTTTTGTAAACGCGTTCAATGATTGATCGATTGATTGATGCATGCTTGTTTTACATTTGTCATTTCGGGGCCTTTTATAGCTGACTATGCGGTATGGGCTTTGCTCATTGTTGAAGGCCGTACGGTGACCCATAGTTGTTAATTTCTGTGTCATTTGGTCTATTGAGGAGAATTGTCTCATTGGCAATCATACCACATCTTCTTTTTATATTTGCTTTAGAATGAAGTGCGGGAAATTTGGACTTCCAGTGCATAATAAATGAGGATATGTTAATGTGGGTCAACAACATATAAACAACACATAAACAATAGAAATAATTGAGGATCTATGATGATCAAAATGTCATAACAACTTTGGAAACTGTGAAAATATGCCTTGCAATTAGCCACCTACGACCCCTCAAAGAGGAGATGAAAGCGTTCTTGAACGTACATAGAGCATGACACTCACCCTACACAAGGCATCGGATTTCACAACCCCTTTCAGAAGTTGTTCCATATGTATATGTATGTATATATATGAGAGGATATGTTTATATTGTAATTCAAATTCTATTGAAAATGAAATGCACTTTCTTCTGGAATGCCCTCTTTACAATAACCTCGGAAGAAATATGACTGATTATACCAAAAAATACCCCAGTTTAGTTAATTAAATAGAAATGATCTTTTTACATGGATCATGAGTAATGAAGATAGCAGTTTTTTATCTATTTTATGTGCATACCTTGATAAAGGCCTGCAACTTAGAAAATCAGAAAATTAGTCAAATACTCTAATAGATAGCAAAATTACCTCCCCTTGACCACTGACCCTTTCCTCATGCATTTGAACTATTATTTTATGTTTCTTTAATCACTCTGTAATGTTTATGTCATGTTGTAATTGATGTTATGCTCTTAATGGGCCCTTTAATTTGGAAAAATAAAAATATTGTATTGTATTGTATTGTATTGTATTGTATTGTATTGTATTGTATTGTATTGTATTGTATTGTATTGTATTGTATTGTATTGTATTGTATTGTATTGTATTGTATTGTATTGTATTGTATTGTATTGTATTGTATTGTATTGTATTGTATTGTATACCTCACACAAAGACGTTCCAGTTTAGCAAGGGTTGTACTGCATTGTGTCTAGTGTTTACAATATCCCAGCACTTCAATTCAACTCTTTGGGGTCTGCATACAAATAGAAGCTTGGACTAATGAATTAACTGTTACTGCAAAAGTCTCAGAGAAGTGACTATAAGGGACTTAACAAAAAAGACAGTGAGACCATGCAAGAATATGTAAAGGAAATTGCGTCAGCTTACTGTTTTTTCTGTCCGAGATCAAACACAAAAAACACCCAAAATATTTCATTTTGTTTTTGAAAATAAAACATTATTTTTGTAACATAGACTTTAAGGCCGACATTCAAACTGAATTCGAACGTATTTCATAAATTATGCTATGGTTCAGGATAAAAAAAACCATTCTATTCTAAACATTTTTTTTTTTATCTAGGGTACTAGCACGTTTGTGCGCACGTACAATTGGTCTATCTCCACCATATTTTAAGGGGCGTCTATAGTGTGTTGGTTGTTGATGTGGTCTCTATATATACTTTCAACATTTTGTGTAGGCCTAATATATCTTATCTTATCTTTTTTTACGTACCATTCATTTTGATAAGCAGTTTGCTAGATAATGTTACTAAAGCAAAAAATTAGGATTTCAATATTTAGAAATGGCTCCAAACTGTAGGACAAAAGTTTTTATTTTCTTTTATTGTTTCTTCCTTCGGGGCTTGTCGGTTCAGACATATGACTTGATGCAAATATTACAGTTTGTTTTGCTGACCGTACATGCACTAAACATGCTAAACTGTTCTATTATTTGTTCATTTGATCGTCCTAGATATGAATAAAATATTTGCCACAGAACGTAAGTCCTACGTTGGATTAAATCTAACACGGCCCATTCGCTAATCATCTGCCTGCAAACAGTAAATTGATTGTTTAACAATGTGTTTCATATTTACTGTTATAAGATATAACCATGGAAGTAATATTTAAATATTACTTCCATGATATAACGATCTAATTATATATGTGCTAGTTGTTATAAAGCTATGATTTCTTAAGGAAAAAATATTTAATTATGTATTCTATTTCATAAGAAAAACGATTTCAAGGACAAACTCTTTGTCTAGGGCGTAGCGCATGGCTATATATAGGATGCGACGTAATACAGCGTTTTGATGTTTCCGTTTTCTGTAGACTTTTCTTTCCAGGGAGCAAAAGAGGAGTTAAAATTTATAAAATTTATATCTTAAATAAGTTGTTAAAAAATGTCTGAACTTTGCATATTCTCAAGTTTGAGGTAAATTTGAAGGGAAAAATACATCAATCATCTGAGCGAGTAAAGAAAAAATGTAAAAAAAAATCACCAAACATATAAACACCCCTTCAATCGCCCTTTCAACCCTACAACCCTACGACCCATATCCAACTCCATCACAGAAGGAAAAAATGTCGTATACTTAGTTGATTGTGAAATTCTCGGTCCAGATAAACATAATGCTTTCTTATATATGAGTATAGATAGTTTCATTTTTTCACATATGCATGCAAAAACATGTAAATTTCGAATTCGGTGCCTTTATATTTTTTGTTGTTGAAGTTACCCCTGAGTTGTTCCTCTTTGCATACATAAATATTTATATATAAACACAAATCTAGTCAAAAAGTTACGTATTTTTAAATCACTTGTCGTGTGGAAAACACCTAATTCTATTTATTACCGCTCGACAATGTCAGATACTATTTATAAATATATCGTAACGAAAACAACCAATCAGATTGCTAGAATTGGACAAACTTGGGATCATGTCAGGACTTGCCAGATCGACAAAATAACAACGTGGTTTAAATGCTAACAAGGTAAGCTTGTTTATTAAGTAATTCAATGATTTTTGATTAATATCATGTTTATTGAATAATACTAATTTTATCTTTAGCTCAAAAAGAATAAAAAAAGAACTTATTTTTGCGTTTTTGTGTGAAAAAAATAATTTCATTAAGCAAAAAGAGTGACTTATTATATTATTTTCATTTGTCAATAAATTTGAGCTTTATTATGAATACATAACGACATAAAAGCTTATATTTCTTTTAATTTCACTTTTAAAAAGTAAAAGGTCATGGCACTGCTTTACATCGGAGGTCTGCAGTTATTTATTATTTGTGTAAAAAAGGGGGGAGGGTAGACTAAAATCATATGACCTTATAATATTTTACTGATTATGTAAAATGTACCGTAACTTCGAGCTCGACGAGTACAAACCTTGTAAATCCTGCTTTTTCATTTGACTTTTCGACTTTGAGAATATGACGCAAGTATAATTACAAGGCACACGGCACACTAGATTCTAGATCTATAAATAAACGAAGAATGCCAAAATTTTTACTGAGCAGTGTTTTCATAAACAGAAACGAAGGTTCATAGTGTTTTCTGTAGTTTAAAAGTAACTTGTTTTTTATTTTATTTTATGAAATAAATTAATTCAAAACTAAATTTTTAAATATTTTGTAGATATTATTATTCAATAAGTATTCGGCATCTGCTTTTATATTTCACACAATATCACATATAAAACAAAATAAATTTTGAAGTTATTTATCATGCTTATGGTTGAATTTTACTATAAACCATGTGTTGAAAGGCACATGCAGGCGCTTCGGGAAAAGACCCCCCTTTTCTAGATATTAAAAAAAAAAAAAAAAAATTTTAAGTAACTTTATCTGTAATATTTTAACTTATTTAATGTGTTATTGTCTCTGCTCATACGATTTGTTAGTGTAAAACATTATTTTAATGTGAAAATACATGTAATACATGTGATAACATAAACATTTCAAATATGACAGTTTAGTCATCAGATTGTCTTAAGTTGTTATTGTTTTCTCCTGATTTGAACATTATGTAATAACAATTTAATATTGTTGAAATATACAGCAAATTACAGGACAAAAAAATACACTTGCGTTTAAATCATCAGAAAATGAGAACTTTTCACAACAAAAATATACCGCCCCCCAAAAAAAAATATAAATGTGTGATAATTCTGATTATAATGGTACCATGTTACTTAAAATCAAACCTGAAATGCCTTCAAAGTATTGAGTTGAAAAATGTAGTTTCATATGAAATATATATGTAGTAAAAAATTGAAGGCGACGAATACTTATTGCATAACACCGTAGTTCGAAATCTTCATCACTTCATAAAACAACAATTTAGAACAAAAAAATAAAAGCGATGAATCTGATTAGTTGCAAAACGTAATTCAAAATTATCATTTCGTTTTATTTCTGAAGAAAAACACGGCTTTTGGAATTTGAAATTGATAGATTTGCAACAGCAAAAATACTTGTGAGCGATCGATTTGTAATGCTCCGGTGGATAAAAAGAAATTGCAGGGGCAGTGGTAGCTATTCTAAAAAGGGACATTGCAACAAATCTTTCGGTCTCAGCTAATCCGTTGCAAAGTTCTAACATTGTTTCTACTATCTACCACGCCCTCTTTCTTTCCAGTGTCAGCCGTATTTTCTGCCCTTAATCAGTATTGATTTACAATCGATGTATAATTTCATCTAACTGTTTGCCATTGTGTGTAAAATAAACAACACTCAATCTGCAGTTATAATTTTGTTATTATCTTAATTATGCATGAACTATTTGCCACTGAATTTTAAGCAATCAACTATTAAAATATTTAAATCAATTTAAAATTAGTATTTCTCCTCTCGTGATTATTTTAGATCTTTTGTTACGACTTAGTTCTTCATTTTGACACTCGTTGCGACTTATCAGATGTTCGTTAAAGGGCTTTAAGCTGTCAACCAGTCAATCTATCAATTTCCGTTATTTGATTGAAGTTTTTGTTTAGTGTTGTACGTTTTGTATCCATGTTCATCTATGTATATTCATGATATTATAATGTGTGTAAGTGAATAAATCTTCGAATGCCACTGGGTGTGAGTTAAACAACAATCAATCAATTAATTGAAATGCTGTTCTCGTTCTATATTATGTATGAACTATTTGCCACTGGATGCTAAGCAAACAACAATTGATCTATTTAAAATATAAATAACATTAAAATGATATAAATGAAAGCAGTATACAAGAATGTGACTGTGGTTTATTTTTATCAATAGTACCGCTTAAGTCGACGCTAGGGGCCGTCTTAACCTTGTTGTAGGGTATGAATGATTCGTTCATTGTTGAGGACCCTACATCAACTGTCGAGATGAAGAACAGGAATAAAAGCCCTGTTCATTGATAATTTTCTATGTTTTCTATGTATTTAGTGCGATTTTGTCCCATTTACATTTACTCCATATCCTTTCATTTTCTATTCGTCGAGTATCGATATCCAGTTGCGTGTTTAAAAAGGGTGTGATGCGAGTTTAAAAAATCGGGTTGCGAAAATAATTCTGATTCATTTTATTAGTAGGGTAGATAACGATCATTTGATTCTGAGTAGAGAAACTTGGGCATGGACCCCTCTATATTGGGAGGGAATTAAGATTTTCCCCTCATTTCAACTAATTCTCCCTTACTTAAGTGTTCTTGTTTTTATACGTTTAATCTTTCAATATATTAAAAAGTCATTTTCATACGTGCTGTTTTATTAATGTAATGGTGGTTCGGCACATTTGAACTTCAAGTATCGAGCGATTGGTAAATGTATAGGGAAGAACACATAGGATAACGGAAAATAGGTTTGAAATATTAAAGAAAATTTAGCAAAAATCATAACCCCCCAAAAAACTAGAAAAAGGGAGTCAAAGCCCCAACCACCTGTGGTTTAAAGGGGAAATAAGAATCAATTGGTCGTCAGTTTGTTAATGCATAAATGTTCAAACATCTAAGTTCTATTTTTTTCTATTTGCAATGAAGATGACGACATCAACTCATACATGTTCGGATGAGGAAGTGATGAGCGCCAGCAGGAAGGCCCTGGAGAGTGGAAGGATCACGCCTCTACTGAAAGTGGAATTGTGGGCGAAAATTCAGTCGAGAAGACTGTCCGAGGGGAAAGAGGAGTTGCGAGTAGATTTTGAAAAAAGTCCTCACAGTTCTAATGAGGTAAGTTATTAGGATATTTACAGGGGGAGGGGTCTAGTGGCGGACCATAATGAATGCAGTATAGCATATTTGCTTCTAATTTATTTTTGCATTGAAAAGTATCCTCAATGATATTTGTTCTCAAAGATGGGATTAATATAATTGACACCTTAGAATTTTTACAAGTTACACAGTATATCGTAATCCCTCTAAGGTTATGAAGGTACCCTTTCGGTATAGAAATTAGTTCTAGTTCATCCACCTGAGTTTGACAGTTTACGGGATGTATACATGCATGTAGAAAGGACACTTTTACCATTCTTGAGTTATGCTCCTTAACAAATGGAAAAATTGCTGAATATATCGTTTCCGTTCTCTAACTTTAGTTTGCCTTAAACAAATGTTATGAAACTTATGTGAAATGCTTATTACTACAAAACACAGATCAAATTTGATTTGTGTCGCCTCACTTTTACTGTTCTAGAGTTATGCCCCTTTACACATGGAAAATTGGCGAATTTTTCGTTTTTGTTCTCTAACTTAAGTTTGCCTTAACCAAATGTTATGAAACTTATACACAATGCTTATTACCACAAAACTCAGATCAAGTACAAGTCTGGGTAGTGTCACTTTTACCTTTCTTGATTTGTATCCCTTTATAACGTTATATGCAAGCGGGGGCATCATCTGTGTCCCATGGACACATTCCCCATTTATTTTTAAACATGGAGAGTATAACCCGTTTAATTTAAAACAAGTCATTGCATATCCAGTCATCACTGTAACGTTGAAGTGTAGTGTACACTGTACTTTGCAAATACTATTGAAGATAAAGAGAAATTTTAAACAGCAAAAATGATCAACAAAGTCAAATCTACCAAAAAGTCTAGGACCGAATTCATCGATTGATGCTGTATAGGAGTTATTGCCCTTGTAAGGCTAATTTTATTATGTTTATAATTTTTTTTCTGAAGCTATGATAGATAGAAAGAAACTTTACTTGGTAAAATGTTAAGCAAAGTAAGACCTACAAATAATTTAATATGACAGAAATCATCAATTGATTTCTAAGTGGGGTTATTTCCCTTGAAAGATGATTTTTACCACTTTTTGATTTTTTTACAAAAACTATGATCGATAGACAGAATTTGTAAAAGGCAAAACATGTTTAACAAAGTATGACCTACTAATAAGTCCAATAACCAAAATTGTCAGTTAACCCCTTGTATGAAAGAGTTATTGCCCTTAACAGATGAGTCATTCCAACTGTTTTATTTTTTTTTGCTGAAACTATGATAGATAGAGAGACCCATTTAAATGGCATGTTTAAACATGTATTAATATATCTTAAACAGCAAAATAGTCATTGATGTACAAAAAATTCCCGGTGAGCAATTCAGGCGCTTGGGAGCCTCCTGTTAAATGCATGAACAACTCTCCTCTTTCGATTTCCCATTGTCTTGAAACAGGAACAAATTTTGTGTTTTACAGTTAACCAAAGACGAACAAGAAAAAGCCAGGGGCAGGAGAGCTAGCAACAGGGTTGCAGCCAGAAAGTGCAGAGGAAAGAAAAAACAAGAGAGAGTCAATCTTGATCAGGTAAAAACAAGTAAATAAAAAAAGATTTCTTATTTTAATTTTATTTATTGAAATTACATCCGTACATATATGGGTCTTTAAAGTTGTTTAAATAAACAAACAAACTCATAACATACATGGTATGGGTTTTGCTCATCTTTGAAGACTGTACCGTGACATATTTATAAATGCTGAAATCCGGGTCATTAACTTAAAGGTTCTGTTGGATAGCAGTCCCATTTGCGATCATACCAGATCTATTGACCGATGGTAAGTCTAAATGGTAATGACTGCCACATAAAGTCACAGGAACATGGTAAAAGTTAATGATATGGGTTAAGAATTTTGAGTATTTGTATATTTGGACAAATAGTGTTGGAGGTTGATAGACCACATTTTCTTTATTATGTTTAATATTATATAGCTGTTCGTAACTACATGTTGACATACAAAGAAAGCTTAATCTCGTTCAAACAAGTTTTACTACGAAAAAAAGATTGAATTACCTCTCTTTGGTCTGTTACTTTCAGTACACGCACACTGACGTTAAACAATAATTAAATGCGTTTTTAATTTATTTTTATACGACCGCAAAAATTAAAAAAATTTTGGTCGTATATTGGTATGACGTTGGCGTCGTCGTCGTCGTCGTCGTCTGGCGTCGTCCGGCGTCGTCCGAAGACACATTGGTTTTCGCACTCTAACTTTAGTTTAAGTGAATGGATCTCCATGAAATTTTACCATGAGGTTCAATACCACGAAAGGAAGGTTGGGATTGATTTTGGGGGTTATGGTACCAACAGTTAAGGAATTAGGGGCAAAAAAGGGGCCAAAAATAAGCATTTTTGTAACTTCCAGACAAATACTTGTGTGTAAGTGTATGGATCTCACTGACATTGTTCCACAAGGTTCCATATCACAAAGGGAAGGCTGTAATTGATTTTGGGGGTTATTGCCTCAAAATTTTAGGAATTAGGGGCCAAAAAAGGGGCAAAAAAGAAATTGTCAATTGTACAGTATTGCGCAATAGCAAGAAATATTCAATTGCACAGTATTGTGCAAAAGAAGATACTTCGTATAAATTGCTTATTTCTTGATCAATTTCAATGGGGTTATATTCTTGAATTCTTGGGGTTCTTTAATATGCTGAATCTAATAGTGTATTAAGTTTTTATACGACCGCAAAAAAATTTTGTGGTCGTATATTGGTATGACGTTGGCGTCGTCGTCTTCGTCGTCGTCGTCGTCGTCCGGCGTCGTCGTCCGAAGACACATTGGTTTTCGCACTCTAACTTTAGTTTAAGTGAATGGATCTTTTTGAAATTTTACCATAAGGTTAAATACCACAAAAGGAAGGTTGGGATTGATTTTGGGGGTTATGGTACCAACAGTTAAGGAATAAGGGGCCAAAAAGGGGCCAAAAATAAGCATTTTCTAGTTTCCAGACAATAACTGTGGAACGGTGTATGGATCTCTCTGAAATTATACTACAAGTTTCCATACCACAAAGGGATGGTTAGGATTTGCTTTTGGGGGGTATGGCTCAAACCGTTTAGGAATTAGGGGCAAAAAAGGGGGAAAAACAAGGTTGTCCTGGTTAATGGACAAATACTTTAGTACAAAACATAATTTAAAGCAGTGTAAGGGAGATAAATCAAATACATCATTGAAATTATCTCCCTTACACTGCTTTTAAATTATGTATAAAGTAATGGTTAATGAACAATAAAGATAATTTAAAACAGTGTAAGGGAGGTAATCCAAATACAACGTTTTGGTTACTTCCCTTACACTGCTTTTAAATTATGCTTAAAGAAATGCATATTTATAAAGGAAGACCAGTAAAAATATCTGCAAATGTTGCATCTTTTTTTTTTACAAAAAAATCCATATGAAAGATTTGACACTATATTTTTAATTCCATTATAAAATAGATTAAGTTAGCACTATGGTAAATTTAAATGGGTAATTATGGTTGCCAACTCGTTTGGAAATTTGAATTATGACCATATCTTGAGGGAAAGAATTTTTTGGGGGAAAAAAAGGGGGGGGGGATAAAAAGAAATTGTGGGGGGTCAATTTTTTCTCATTTCAGATTTCAGAAAAAAAAAAAGAATTATTCTTCAAATATTTTTTTTTTTTCAAATTTCAAATATCGAAAAATTTCAAGAAGTAATCTTTAATTGCACAGTATGGCGCATTAGATTTGTGAAATCATTGATCACATTTATTTATTTGTTATGCCGAATCTAACAGTGTATTTAGATTTTTAATTTTGGGTCCAGTTTTCAAATTGGTCTACATTAAGGTCCAAAGGGTCCAAAATTAAACTTAGTTTGATTTTAGCAAAAATTGAATATATGAGGTTCTTTGATATGCTGAATCTAAACATGTATTTAGATTTTTGATTTTTGGCCCAGTTTTCAAGTTGGTCCAAATTGGGGTCCAAAATTAAACTTTGTTTGATTTCAACAAAAATTGAATAAATGGGGTTCTTTGATATGCTGAATCTAACCATGCATTTAGATTTTTTATTTGTGGACCCTGTTATCAAATTGGTTCATATTGAGGTCAAAAGGGTCCAAAATTAAACTTTGTTTGATTTCATCAAAAATTGAATTATTGGGGTTCTTTGATATTCCAAATCTAACCGTGTATTTAGATTTTTAATTTTGGGTCCTGTTTTTTAAATTGGTCTACATTAAGGTCCAAAGGGTCAAAAATTAAACTTAGTTTGATTTTAACAAAAATTGAATTCTTGGGGTTCTTTGATATGCTGAATCTAAACATGTGTTTAGATTTTTGATTATGGGCCCAGTTTTCAAGTTGGTCCAAGATAGGGTCCAGTATTGAAACTTCGTTTGATTTCAACAAAAATTGAATATATGGGGTTCTTTGATATGCTGAATCTAAACATGTTTTTAGATTTTTGATTATGGGCCCAGTTTTCAAGTTGGTCCAAATTGGGGTCCAAAATTAAACTTTGTTTGATTTCAACAAAAATTGAATATATGAGGTTCTTTGATATGCTGAATCTAACCATGTATTTAGATTTTTTGTTTGTGGGCCCGCTATCAAATACACCTTTCCACTCTCCTGTCAATCATCAGTTAATTGACCAATCACATGTGGTAAATTTACCACATGTGTAAACATTTGGTAGCAGCACGTGTTGTCGGCCATAACCTCGATCAAACATTCTTATCTAAACAGTTAATTTGATCTAACATTTCTTAAAATTTTCACAATTAAATTGTCCAGAATTTGTTTTTGGGAAAGGAATCAATGTTAGAGGGTAGAGGAAGGTCAATTTGTCAACTTGAAACAATAAAAATTTTGTTTCAATGTATGAAAGTTATTATAAATCAATTAAAAAGGAATATAATGGCAGTGCTTATTGTTTTTGAAATATTGTTTACATGCTATTTTGAAAAATAAAAAAAATATATATATTCTGAAACACAAGATTTCAATTGGTGTACAAACTGAGTTGAAATAGATATTTTTTGCATTAATTTAAAAGTTTAAACAATAAAACATGTAAGTTAGTACATGTATGTAAAATTTCTAGAAATTACAATTATAATATAGTAAAGATTTAGAAACAAAATAATTGACACCTTTCCAATTTCAATTACATAGAACAACTCATCCCCAACTTTATTCAAATGTTAAAATATTTGTACTTGGAAGCAGTTTAAACTGAAAACTTCAGGGTATTGATCATCTTTTGGATTGGCAGATTTTATACAAAATTTTAATTTTCCAGTATAATATTTATACAAGAATTATTCCATGTTCTTTAACAATCAAATTGTTTTAGAGATAATGTAAGTTTTCCCACCTTAAAATTAATCTGAATGAAAAATTATATACAACATCATTGGAATGAGATGGAAATAAGAATTACTGATCTGAAAGTCTGCATGGAATGATGTAGTGAATCAGATATTTGTAGTCTTTTCGTGTACAAAATGTATAAAAATGAAAGTATTTACGTTTGTAATGCCCTCATCGCTAGCATTTTGTTATAAGACAGAGGGGAAACTGAAATAATAATAAAAAAATATATTTCAATAGATGCTTCATAACAAGTAAGATGATGTTTAATTTTGATATGACTTTGGTCTACTGTGAGAGTATTTGCTGATTGTACTTGACCTTTTTCAAATTTTGTGTATGAATTAAAAAAATGAAAGGAAGTTAGAAGTATCCGGTATATTTTATTTTCTTTATTTGAAAAAAGGGTGAGTACAATGTGCAAAGATTTCTGTTAAGGACAAGAGGCGTATATAAATTTAAAACAAAGAAGAACTACAATGACCAAATATTCATGTAAGCAAATAATAAATTAATTTTCTTTTCTTCTTTATTTTTTACTTAGTGATAGAATTTTAATTATCATAAGTTATCTATGGATATTAAAAAAGAAAACCGGTTAAATGTTATTTGATAAATAATCTAATAGCTACTGGAGCAAGGATGCTTGTTTTATAAGTTGACCCATGCTGTGTTTTTCTACACAGTAAACACACTTATCAGCATTCATTAGCCATGCTTAATTAAATCTGTAATTCATCTTATCAATCATGCAATATTATATTCTATATCTAGTTGTTAGATTATATTTTTGGGGAATGAGGGTAATCTAATAGCTTGAAATTTGCAAAAGTATTTTAATTGTTTCTTTTTATTTCAGTATAAATAGACATAATTTCTTCAAAATGTCATAAATTTATCTCTCAACTCTTCAGGAGTAACTATTTCATCATACTTTAACACAAAAACAAATATATGAACAATATATTGCTCTTATTTATATCTGTTATAACAAATTCTTTACTTTGTTATTATTCAATGTTCATAATAACCGCCATTTTGTTGATTAGCTTGACCTAGGATGTTGGGTTGCCATGTGTTGCTAAGGGGGGCGGGGCATACCAGTAGAAAATGGAAAGGTGTATTGGTTCATATTGAGGTCAAAAGGGTCCAAAATTAAACTTTGTTTGATTTCATCAAAAATTGAATTATTGGAGTTCTTTGATATGCCAAATCTAACCGTGGTTTTAGATTTTTAATTTGGGTCCCGTTTTTTAAATTGGTCTTCATTGAGGTCCAAAGGGTCCAAAATTAAACTTAGTTTGATTTTAACAAAAATTGAATTCTTGGGGTTCTTTGATATGCTGAATCTAAACATGTGTTTAGATTTTTGATTATGGGCCCAGTTTTCAAGTTGGTCCAAGTTGGGGTGCAAAATTAAACTTTTTTTTATTTCAACAAAAATTGAATATATCGGGTTCTTTGATATGCTGAACCTAACCATGAATTTAGAATTTTTATTTGTGGGCCCCGCTATCAAATTGGTTCATATTGAGGTCAAAAGGGTTCAAAATTAAACTTTGTTTGATTTCATCAAAAATTGAATTATTGGGGTTCTTTGATATTTCAAATCTAACTGTGTATTTGGATTTTTAATTTTAAGTCCCGTTTTTTAAATTGGTCTACATTAAGGTCCAAAGGGTCAAAAATTAAACTTAGTTTGATTTTAGCAAAAATTGAATTCTTGGGGTTCTTTGATATGCTGAATCTAAACATGTGTTTAGATTTTTGATTATGGGCCCAGTTTTCAAGTTTGTCCAAGTTGGGGTCCAAAATTAAACTTTGTTTGATTTTTAACAAAAATTGAATATATGGGGTTCTTTGATATGCTGAATCTAACCATGTATTTTGATTTTGGACATTGGACCATAATAGATTAATTAAAAAAATTCAAGTTCTTAGACCACATTCTTTCTGTGTCAGAAACCTATGCTGTGTCAAATATTTAATAACAATCCAAATTCAGAGCTGTATCAAGCTTGAATGTTGTGTCCATACTTGTCCCAACTGTTCAGGGTTCAACCTCTGCGGTCGTATCAAGCTGCGCCCCAGCGAAGCATTTTATTGGATTTTGGGCCCCGTTTTTAAATTGGTCCACATTGAGGTCCAAAGGGTCCAAAATTTAACTTTGTTTGATTTCATCAAAAATTGAATTATTGGGGTTCTTTGATATGCCGAATCTAACCGTGTATTTAGATTCTTAATTTTTGGTTCCGTTTTCAAATTGGTCTACATTAAGGTCCAAAGGGTCCAAAATTAAACTTAGTTTGATTTTAACAAAAATTGAATTTTTAGGGTTCTTTGATATGCTGAATCTAAACATGTATTTAGATTTTTGATTATGGGCCCAGTTTTCAAGTTGGTCCAAATCGGGGTCCAAAATTAAACTTTGTTTGATTTCAACAAAAATTGAATATATGGGGTTCTTTGATATGCTGAATCTATCCATGTATTTAGATTTTTGATTTTTGGGCCCCGTTATCAACTTTGTCCACATTGAGGTCAAAAGGGTCCAAAATTAAACTTTGTTTGATTTCATCAAAAATTGAATTATTGGGGTTCTTTGATATTTCAAATCTAACTGTGTATTTGGATTTTTAATTTTAAGTCCCGTTTTTTAAATTGGTCTACATTAAGGTCCAAAGGGTCAAAAATTAAACTTAGTTTGATTTTAGCAAAAATTGAATTCTTGGGGTTCTTTGATATGCTGAATCTAAACATGTGTTTAGATTTTTGATTATGGGCCCAGTTTTCAAGTTTGTCCAAGTTGGGGTCCAAAATTAAACTTTGTTTGATTTTTAACAAAAATTGAATATATGGGGTTCTTTGATATGCTGAATCTAACCATGTATTTTGATTTTGGACATTGGACCATAATAGGTAAATTAAAAAAATTCAAGTTCTTAGACCACATTCTTTCTGTGTCAGAAACCTATGCTGTGTCAAATATTTAATAACAATCCAAATTCAGAGCTGTATCAAGCTTGAATGTTGTGTCCATACTTGTCCCAACTGTTCAGGGTTCAACCTCTGCGGTCGTATCAAGCTGCGCCCCAGCGAAGCATTTTATTGGATTTTGGGCCCCGTTTTTAAATTGGTCCACATTGAGGTCCAAAGGGTCCAAAATTTAACTTTGTTTGATTTCATCAAAAATTGAATTATTGGGGTTCTTTGATATGCCGAATCTAACCGTGTATTTAGATTCTTAATTTTTGGTTCCGTTTTCAAATTGGTCTACATTAAGGTCCAAAGGGTCCAAAATTAAACTTAGTTTGATTTTAACAAAAATTGAATTTTTAGGGTTCTTTGATATGCTGAATCTAAACATGTATTTAGATTTTTGATTATGGGCCCAGTTTTCAAGTTGGTCCAAATCGGGGTCCAAAATTAAACTTTGTTTGATTTCAACAAAAATTGAATATATGGGGTTCTTTGATATGCTGAATCTATCCATGTATTTAGATTTTTGATTTTTGGGCCCCGTTATCAACTTTGTCCACATTGAGGTCAAAAGGGTCCAAAATTAAACTTTGTTTGATTTCTTCAAAAATTGAATTCTTGGGGTTCTTTGATATGCTGAATCTAACCATGTATTTAGATTTTGGATATTGGACCATAATAGGTGAATGTCCAATTTAAAATTTTTAAGTTCTTAGACCACATTCATTCTGTGTCAGAAACCTATGCTGTGTCAAATATTTAATCACAATCCAAATTCAGAGCTGTATCAAGCTTGAATGTTGTGTCCATACTTGCCCCAACTGTTTAGGGTTCGACCTCTGCGGTCGTATCAAGCTGCGCCCTGCGGAGCATTTTATTTTTAGTGTCTTCAAAATCGTACTCACACAAAGAAAAACCGTTCAATTTTTTAAGTCGATTATCGGTACAAAATATTTTAAAGTATTCAATAAATAATAAAACAATTGCTATTTATTTAACATTCAGTTAAATCTGTATTGTACAAAAACATCATCGTGAATGATGGATGGATGGGTGGCTGTTTAAAATCCAGTGGCAAATTAAATGTATATTCAGGGCGAGAACATGATCATGTGATATGAATATAAACCTTCCTTGTACTAGACCGACACGCTGAGTCGGATTTTTTTACATGCTAGTTCACAAGGTAACAGTCCGCAGGATTACATGTCACCCTACCCGAACACATTATTCAGACTCCGAGCCGATCAGTCTTTGCTCTTACTCCTGAATGCCGCGTGGTTAACGGAGAAGCAGCAAATACCAATTTTCAAGTCTTTGGTTTGACCCGGCCGGGGTTGAACCCACGATTTGTCTGTTATTGATTAACGCATGTTCTTCTTGAATTGAGCTCCCTATGATATCTGCCGAATAATTACAGGCAATTAAAACTCTACTACCTTATTTTGGATAAAATGTTTTAACAAATTAAGAAGTATCAGTGGTATTTGTTAAGGCGATGTATTTCTTCTCTGTGTTTCTATATTTTCTCATCTCCCCATTTTGTATAGTAAATAATTAATTGATCTCAAAATTGGGTCCGTAGGTCAAAACATTTTATTCCCTATCAAACATCCTCCATTTTGAGTGGCATTAAATTTCGATTTACACACTTTTCAGAACCTACCCATTGTGGTTATTGTTAATTTCTCTCGTCCTGAATAATCATGAAATATTTACGACTGGACGTTAAGGAAACAACAATGAAAACTAGAGACGGATATATACAACGTGATAAACATAATACGTCCAACGATGATGAACTGGTTTCTGTGGGTTACTTTTTACAATTAGAACATAACTTAAATATTATCTATTTTAGTTGAAGGACGATTTGGGAGAAAGGAATCAGCAACTAAGGTCGCAGGTTCAAGAACTAGAACAAGAAAAGATCAGGCTTACCGAAAAACTTCTTGGAAACGTCGGTGTTTTCTCAAATCACCTCGAAGAACCAATACAAATTCCTGCAATTGGTCGAGAAATGACAATGAACACTGCTTGTATAATGACAGAATTTAATAACTGTGACGTAACATCCGTAAATATGCTTGAAATGCAAGTGCAACAAGAAACATATGAAGCATTAGAAGTTGAGATTAAAACAGATAGTAATGACACCATAGAGTATTCACGAGGAGGCGAACAGGATGATCACGGAGATATTGAAGATTTGACCTACTTCAGGAGTTCGCAAGAGGTACCGACAGGTACTTGTTCCGACATACAAATGGAGGAACGAGCTCCAACGAACAACACAAGTCCGCTGCCAGAATTTGAAGATGGCGAAGCATCTCTTGATGACTGGATGGGGACAAGTTACATTAGTTTGGACAAATATATTTTATAAACTGTTGTACTGCCAGCTAGTGCATTAGGAGGGTCTGGGTGGGTGGGGAATGGTGGGGTCTTCATTTCTGTATTCTTTGTTTTTTATGTCAGTTTTCTGTATTCCTTGTTTTTTATGTAAGTTTCTGTATTCTTTATGTGTTTGCCCTTTATTTTCAAATCTTTATATTTTCGTTCCCCATCATTCTTTGTTCTTTATTTTTTTGGGGCCTATTTTCTCTATTCTTTATTTTTGTGGTCCAACTTTCTGTCAAATTTACACTATTCACTATTCTGTTAACCAAACCCAAACCCTTCATTGTTATCATATCATGACGTTTTAGGGCATTCCTTGGCCATGTCGGCTACTTTGAACAATTTGGATTTTCAATTGTTCCTTTTGTATTTGTATATACTATGAATGATAAAAATGATTACAATGTATACATATATGTGTTCTTTATTCTCATGTTTATTAAAATGTATGTGTACATGTTTGTAAAAGAATTTTATTACACAATATTTTCCGAATATAAAGGGGCATAACTCTGACACAAGTGAGGTGAACTATATATCGAACTTTAGTTCGATCTTTGCTACAATCAGTACAAATAAAGCAATGAAAGGTTTTATTCATATATCAGAGCGAACAAAATAATATTTTATATGCAAAAAAGGGACATTAAAAAAAGTCACTAGTCAAGTAAAAGCAAACACCACACACCATGGTTTAAAAAAATGACAAAGAGACAACTGTCCACAAAGCACGACAGGGTAAACCAGTGTTAAAAATGAGAAACACGAACTTAAAAAAAAACCTGTGAACTAGAAGTGTAAGCAGCTCAGTATTTTTATACATGTCATACCAATACCTTACCCTTTACAAAAATTGAACATTAAAAAACTTTTAAGTCATAGAGAAACAGACACCAAACAATAGAGTCAAAATAAAAACGACAAAGAGACAACTGTCAACAAAGCAGGAGAGAACAAACATAAAAACATAGTTGAAAAAGATATGTGGCGGGTAAATGTTAGGTTAGGTCAAATAATAATTCTAGTTGGTGTCTATGAAAAAGTTAAAAATGAGTAATGAAGATATATTAGGGTAACACCCCTTTTAAATATAAATAATATGCCGAAACCAAATGTTACGAATCTTATTTACAATGCTTCTAACCATAAAACACAGATCAAATTTGAATTTGGATGCGTCACTTTTACCGTTCAGAGTTATGTCCCTTTACAAATGGAAACACTGCTGAATTTTTCATTTCCGTTCTCTAACTAAGTTTGCCTAAATCAAGTGTTATGAAACTTATACACAATGCTTATAACCACAAAACTCAAATCAAGTACGAATTTGGGTAGCATCACTTTTACATTTCTAGAGGTATGTCCCTTTAAAACGTTATGTGCAAGCGGGAGCATCATTATGTATCCCATGGACACATTCCCCATTTATTTATATTTTAAAGAAGAATAGTAATTGTTGTTGGTAAATGTAACTGTTTATCAGGTCGGGAATTGTAGATTTCCTGACGTCAGAATATATTTGCATATTAATTTCCCAAATAGAAGGTAAACATGGCCTTGAAAAACTGACCAATCGACTCAGTGAACTACAATGCATTGTGGGCTACCACTGAAAAACACGTGGAATTAGTGGGAAAACTGTCAACTAATATAGTGTCTGGGACTCTCATAATAAGTGTTTTTTGTCTGCGAAAAAGTGTTTAATTTAAAATATACAACATAATCTTCAATTTGCATGCTCAGATTAAAAAGAAGTTGAACAGGTTTTGTCCATTGTTATGCATTGTACCTGTGCATTAATTTCATTATGTTCTTATTCAATACTTCAAACGAACATAAAGCATTTACAAAGTAAAAACTCAACACAGTTTTTGGTTATCAGCTCGCCCCGACAGCACAGAAAGCTTATTTTTATTATAAACAATAAACAAATGTCCAATTTGCTGTCATCGACCGCTGCCATCACATATAAACACAATCTACAATAGAAAAATGTTCTATAAGTTGAAGAAAAAATCATTTCGATTTACATACATGTATTTTATCAACTATTTTCTACATAACATACTGATTCACATTCCTATGAAGTCTTAATAAAAGGGGTGGGTGGGTGGGAAAACGAACCTTTCTGTCGGATAGGCGAACCTCGAATGACAATTCTAGATATCTTATTATAATTTTAGCGCTAAAATTCTAGCATGAAGTTATCATGATTGATATAACTTAAACCGGTAATAACTTACTGATGGTCCAATCAAATTAAACATAAACATGTTTTGATTTAAACACACGTGTTAAAAGTAAACAAATACACGTGTTCCCGAGTAACCTTTATAAATACATTTATGTTCTTATTCAATACTTCAAACGAACATAAAGCATTTACAAAGTAAAAACTCAACACAGTTTTTGGTTATCAGCTCGCCCCGACAGCACAGAAAGCTTCGATTGATAAAGAAAGGGACATAAAGAAAAAGGGGGGACAAACAATATAAATTACAATCCTAAATTCTTAGATACTGACAATCTGTTGAGTATACTCTCTTTAACATAACCATCTTTGGCTTTATCACTTTTCCATCTCCCGTGTTTCTTAAACAACCGGTCATCTATTCCAGCTTCTGCCGCGGCAGTAGCTCCTCCTGACCTCAAACTATGTAAGCCAAACTGTTTTTTATCAAGACCTAAACTGTCAAGTGCAGATAACAATAACTCTCTGGCTCTGGTGTAAGAAATATGACTACTCTTTCTAAGTTTGTATATATTCAAAGATTTACAATAACAAATAGATCTAAAAATAAAATCATTCGATTCTTCAGGAATGTTAGCTAACTTTAGATAACGCTGAAGTACATCTACCGGGCATGTAATATTCCCTGTTTTTGAAATGACAACATCTTTCCCTTCCCTATATACATCAGTTTTACACTTGACTAAATGAAGTGTAAGGTAAGTAGGGGAAAACTGTATATCAGACCTTCTCAAGTTAGCTAACTCGGAGAATCTTAAAAAGCCAGCATAGGCTAATAAACACATACATGCTATTCTTACATCTTTTAAATTACAAGTATTATTAGCATATTTACATACAATATTTTTCAAAATATGCGGTGTGATAGGTTCTTTTTTGACAACTGAATGACCTATTTTTCTATGAGCCCCTTCAAGAACAGATGCAACTAGATTATTTTCACTGGGATCAGCAACGCCAGCTAATTTATGTGCCCATTTTATGGCGTAAAAAGCATCATTTAATTTTGAAACCGATTTTGCAGTTTCAGACAAATGAATTAAATATAAAGAAATATGTAAATGAGATGCTGGCAATGGTGAAAAAGAATATTGACTAGTCCACTTACACCATGAATTGAAGGCATATCTATATTTCTTCTGAGTACTCGCAGCCTTGGACGAAAGAAGGAATTCTGGTAACTGTTTGAACAAACTGCTGAGATCATTATTAGAGGCAACTTGTGAATTAAAGTCTGACCAATGTCCTACTGAAAAAATATCTGAAAAACGTAAAATTGCAATAACATTTTATATACATATACAGAGGACGAATTATTAGCATATTTCAGATTTCTATACACAGTAAAATATAATATATATTCAAATATTTCAACGCCAGCTACAATATCTTTATAGATACTAGGGCCATAAACTGTAAAACAAATTACCATGCCTGCTAAAATATCATTATAGATACTAGGGCCATGTCAAATAAAAAACCAAGCCTGCTACAATATCATTACCGATACTAGGGCCATGTCAACATAAACACCCATGCCTGCTACAATATACATATACTAGGGCCATGTCACAAACAGACCATGACTGCTACAATATATCTATATATATATTAGGGCCATGTCACAAACAGACCATGCCTGCTAAAATATATCTATATATATTAGGGCCATGTCTAAGATGCATCTAGCAAAACAGCCAAAACTGGCGAACCAAACGGTTCAATTCCGAATATCGTATTCTTATTCGAACCTTGCTTATAAATACCATCAGTATTTTTAAACACAATAACATCTTTTACGTAATCTTGATAAATCAGATGTTTATCGAATATCAAAGGCCAGAATGCAGCAGAAATCCACTTAGGCACAACTAACGTGCCTCGAGCTTTACAAGCTATAATGTGTTTAATCGATCGTATCACAAGATTAATTGGTGGAACTAGCCAATTATTTTCATTGGTCCAAACTTGAGAAAATGCATCAACTGCTTCAGAATCAGGTTGCCAAAATAAGGAGTTAAATCTCATAACTTTTCTATTTTCGACACTTGCAAACCTGTCAATCGAATAAGGACCCCACATATCATTTAAAAAATTGAAAAATATATGTGTGACTCCCCAGTCCTCGAAATCAACCATTTTGCTGATATAATCAGCCTTTTCATTTTCTTTTCTGGGAATCCATTGAATGTCAATTGATATTCCTTTTTGAATGCAAAATGAAAAAATAGATTTTGCTATAACATGAAGATTTTCTTTCATACTTCCCGAATTAACAATTTTGACACAATTTTGATTGTCAGTAAACCACTTTATAGTTTTTCCTGTGAAACTATTCTTAAAAGAAAAAAGGGCCAACTCTATAGCTTTCAGCTCTCTCCATGTGGAGCTTTGTACCGTTTCACTACATGTCCACATCTTATGGAAAATCTTATTTTCTAATTCAACGGTGTATGCACCAGCGGCAATATTACTAGCATCTGAGTATATGACAACAGAAGATTTACTGTAATGACATAAATTACGATAGTTAATCATGGTGACATTTTCTAACCAGAACTTTAACTCTGATAAAACCTCGACGGGTTTGTACCCTGTAATGGGAATATCCCACCCAATTCTACTTTCAATTTCCATGTAACAGAACTTTGACATAATTCTAGCCACATTTCCGATTACGGGAGTCATAGAAATAATTCTACCTACAACCTGAGCTAAAGATCTAGCTGTAACATAGGGAAATTTAGCCAAAATTACATTCAATGAGAAAATCAAATCGTCAACTCGACGTTGAGTAATAGATAATTTGTATTCTTTCGAGTTCCAAACTATTCCCAACCATTCTAACTCGGTAACAGGTTTAAAAACAGACTTCTCCTCGTTAATAAGGAAACCAGCATCAATCAAAGACCTTTTTACGAAGGACGATTGCTCATTACATGTATTTTCATCTGGACTCATGCCAAATCCATCATCTAAATACAAAACAACTTTTATACCGTTTCCACGCCAAAATTTTACTAGTGGCCTCAAACATTTAGTAAAAATGTACGGACCGGTAGTAATTCCGAAAGCTAAAACAGTATAGCAATAAAATTGACCTTCCCACTGAAAACCTAAGAAAGTCTGTTGCTGTGAGCATATGTCTAAGTGAAAATAACCAGATTTTAAATCAAACTTAAACAGATACATATCTTTGTCAAAAT